CTCTGAATAATATTTAATTTGGATATTACTTAAAATTATTTTTACACAGCTACCTTCTCGCTTTTGACATTCTAACTGTTGTTTAATACTTTTCAGATTAAACCAACATAGAATTTTTTATTCTAACAGGGCCTTATTTTAAAACTGGAGCCTACTTTACATAGAGGTTCTAAATATGACAAAGGCCATTCCTCTTAAATAAAGATACAGAGGGACAAGCACAGGTTAACAAAACATAGAAGAATACATTTGCCCAAAACTTTCAGATTGTCCTTGTTTCCCAGCAGATGGGGGGATAGTCAGACACTACATATTCACCAAGTATTTGTTAAGCAACTCATCTTTTAGAGCTTAACTAATTATTAGAATTATTAGGATAATTCTGTTATGATAGAAGTATCAAATAGGTCCTCTTTGTGTGTGTGTGGGAGGGGGTAGTTAAAGCAAGTAAAAATGTCTTTAAGATTCTTACCCCTACACAAGGCAAGTGAAGGGGCACAGGTAAAAAGTCTCCCTTAGCAATGTAGACACCTGCAACAGAAAATTGCAATTCTTTGTTCCAATCTTCTAACCTTGATACATACACAAGGTCAAGAGAAAGCTAAAGCCAAAAAAAGGGGAGAGATGAAATCCTAAGTTTGAAGAGGTGATTCTAGCTGATTATATCCTGGAGTAAAAAGCAAATATTGTCTCTAAAGGACAATTTTTTAAAAAATATAAAACTAAGAAAATAGTTTATTGTGTTGATAAGTTATCTGTTACATATAGCACATAACATGTTCATGATAAATTGTGTATTACCTATTACATATAGAGAAAGGAAAGAAGATAGGGAGGGAGGAAGGAAGGGAGGCAGAAAAACAGAAGAAAAGAAGAGAAAAACTCACAAGGATTTCATTATTTGAATAAACAACATGGTAAAACTTGGAGAAGACAAATCTCTGGTTTTAACCCTTCCAAAAGAAATGTAACACTACAAGGAATTACAGTTCTCTCCTCCTTAAAACAATCCAGGAAACCACTTAATCATTTCTAGACCTAAAGAGATTAAACATTTTACTCTGAAAAATATTTTTTAATAAAATGTTAGCAATTATAAAAGATTATTTTATGACAAAAGGGAATAAGCCATCTTGATTGAGAAACAAATGTTGAAAAGTAGCAATTTGTAGAAAAGACAAGTCCTTCAGAATAAAAGGCAGTCTTGTCAGTTTCACCTTATGACAAAGGTGAGTATTTGCCCTGTAACATTTACACATGGGTGATGCAAGGAAGTGAAGGTCACAGTAGAAATATAATGATGAATAATTAGAAATATGTAAGTCACTCACATAATCATCAAAGCTGAATATCAGACAGAGAGAGTTTGGTAGGGAAAGGAAGTAAGTCAGATGTCTAAGAAAAATCAGAAGAAAAGAAAGAATGAAAATGCTACAACAAAGAAAATTCCCTATAATTATCCTTTTATGTTCCCTGTGAAGTAATGTGGAGGAAATGCGTTAAATGGTCACTTTGCACAAAAACATGTTCTTTTCCCAACTGAAGTAAATAAGAAGGAAAATAAAATTTGGAGGCCTACATGCTGGGAAATGTTATTTCTCATTTATAAAACAAAGAAGGAAAACAGTTCCAGAAAAATCAGGTGAAATGACAATATTCCCCCTTTAATTCTGTCCAAAACCTTTTTTATACATTTCTCTAGGGCTTTAAGAAGGAAATGACGTATCTAATATCAACGGTTAAATGAATAATTTATAAAGAACAAGAGAGAATATTTTATGTAACATTTTAAACAACTGAGGTTAGCAATTGCTATTTATACTAAATTGAGAAACTTCAGTGAAGAAATCACCTTTATCTCATTAGATACATTAAATGACCAGAAAGCAATCAATGTATTTTGCAAACTCACAAGTAGTCAAACTAAAAACCTTTCAGTTCTTTAGTATCTCCATTCTCATCAGTGAATTGATTTTCCAAGCCTCTGTCTTCTGTATGCCCATTTGTCCAATCAATTCTGTTAACTATTTTCCAACTCTGCCATTAATTCTCAATAGAACTATGCTTCAAAGCACATCACCATAGTTTTAAATCCATACGTGGAGAGTGAGGATATGTTGTAATAACCCAAAAGGACCACAAATTGATACAATAATGGATTTAAAGGTAATTCCAGAAAAGCATATGCTTCATTCTGAAGAGCTTTTGTTAAAAAATCCAGCTAATGTAGAATGATGCTTCCTGGCCTATGCCATTTTCATGTAAAAGTTGTTGATTAATAAGTCTCAATTACTTGATTATGCATTTGGTTTCGAACTTTGCTTTTAGTACTCAGAGACTGTCTCCAGGCAAATTTTCAGTTCATTATCAGTCCAAAAGGCTGCCCAGTTGTACCTTCTTAAGCTACAGTAAATACATTTCCGTCTGGTCTCATCATCTTTAGTGTCTGATCTTTTGTAACAGAGAGTTTTGAAATCATATTTTATGGCAGTGAAGCTGCTCTGGGAAATTTATTGACTTAATAATCCCATCCAACATCTCCTGTCATGTGGAACTGTCCTCAGTACAAGGCAGATTAGTGAATGTGAGCTGCTTCAATTTGGCCCAACTGGCCTGGCTATATTTCCCATTACATGGGTGGGTGAGATCAACTGACTTTGGAACCATTCAATTTATTCTGCAGCAGCAGTATAGGAGAACACAATAGTGACTAGAACTGAATTTGAATGTGCTCTCTTCTGTTGAAGTTCTGATGACGTAGCAATGCTGAGATTACAAATTGTTAGTCAATTTACTTTTTAAGTAGATCTAAGCATCTACACTGGAGAGCTGTTTTTGGCATCTGCCTCCATTGTAGATTCTGGACACAGTGTGATGGTAGTTAGAGCTCAATATAAGGAGGGTAGTTGATAGTATATGCAGTTTCCAGGGGGCAGTGACCCCAAGGTTCTATTATATTTTCCCTCTCATGCAAGGTCAATGAATAAGACCAGAGAACCTTTGGAATTCACTTTTAAGTAGGATGCCAGACTTCTTTCAATTCTGAGTCTGCAAACTCCTATTACTTCCCATGTGCCACACAGAAGTCGGGATACACACAAGAAAAAATTGGTTGAAAGAAAATCAAAATAAGATTATGTCCATGGCACCTTTGCAAAAGAGCTCAAATTTTCAACAATTACCTGGAAATACATAGGTTTATGTTGTACATAAACAGAGCTTTAAACTTGCTGTATAGACAGGAAAAGTAGTGAAAAAAAGTGGCAACTCCTTTTCATGACAAGAATTTCCTACATTTAAAAATGGAATTTATCATTTCAGAGGACAGTAAATTGTGATAAATTATAGGTAGATTAACCTGATATTCTACAAAGAATCTTGTTTAAAATAAAATGCATAAATTTGAAATTATTCTAATACAAAAGAACAAATTATTTTACAGCATTAGATCATATTTTGAAGAATGTAAGTTACATGGGTAATATGTGAAATTTATTTTTTGTCATATAAGATTAGGTTATTTTTATAATGATCCCACACTGTCTAAAACAGCACATTAAGCCTCTAAAATATTAGTGTCATGCAAGCAATAGATACTTAATAAGTGTTTTTGTTGATGATGGAAATATGCATTCTTAACAGGCATTTCTACTTCTGTTATGTCTGGAATTAGTGAAGACAACCCTATATACAGAAATAAGATTCCTCTAATTTAAATTGAGAACTACATTTTAGTCCATAAAAGGAAAATAATTGCCTCTAATTATCATTTTCAATGATATTAGTGCCTTCTAAAAATTTTTAACTTATCAAAATCATATCAGTCTTCAGAAAGAAAATACAAATAAACAAAATATTTTTATCTCCATTTTATAAATAAAATCTATAGTTAATCATGAAAAAGTATTTATACTGAAATTTCTCAAGGCTACAGGAATTTCAGAACCAGTCAGGGTTAAACTTAATTTTAAGTAATCCAAATTTCAGAGTTTGAAGGATCCTTAAAAAGTCTGATCTGAACGCCTCCTTTTATACATTGAGAAACTGAAGCCTAGAGAGATGACACAACTTGCTCAGTGTGACAGAGCTAATATGTGGCAGATGAGACATTCCTTGTATTTCATAAATATGAATATAATTTATATTTTCAAGAATATCATTAGTTATTTCCAAACTAAAATTTAAAAAGAGTATATCACCTTATATTCTTTTATAAATCTATTTTATTACAGATTACCAAATGTGGTGATCTTACACGTCCTGGTTGTATCCAGAAAGATTTCTGGATTGCTTACATTGAGATGTAAAATATAGAGCCTATGCCTATTTGTTGCATTTTAATAAGACAAATAAAGATGTCAAGTTTCTCTTTGAAATAATTTATGGTTTTATATTCCATAAATGTGTATTTTCATATTTTTCCCAAATATCTTATAAAGCACAATCAACAACCTTCCCTTATACCTCTTCCAACATAAAGTATATACAAGGGGAAGACCTTTTTTACACATAAACCAAATGAGCAACAAAGCCTGAAATAACTTGAGACCCCTGTCCTCTAACTAGTACCACTCAAAAAGCGATCACATCACCTCTACTATGTCAGTATGAATCCAGACAATAGATCTTTTGTCAAATGTACTAATGTACCAAATCTAAAATATTTCATCTCTTCAAAAGGAGACAGAATTTTAGAAACAAGAATGCAACACCTATATGACACATCCAACCAGGGTCATTATAGAGAGCAATGTCTTGGTCCCCAAAACAATACCAGTACTAGGTAGAACAATTTAGGAAAGAAACATTGAAATACTTCAAAGTATCATGCTGGAAATATATAAGAATTTTTTACTATGCAAAACTGGATCTTTTTTAATTACTAAGGATACTCCAATCAAATGAACATTTTCCCGCAGACACTATATTCATAGAGGGATCTCTCTATTTTATATAGTCATTTATCAAAATATCAAAGATTTTCCCATGTGTATGCTCACCTGCTCAGAAAAGAGGTCACTGTCATCTTCCAGGTATTTACTGAAAGGGTTGGGTTCATAGACTTCCTCCTCTTTTTTCAGTAATATTTTGGATTTTACAGGTACCGGGCGAATTACTCCAGGCTTAGTCTTCATGAACATCAAATAAGTTTTTAAAAAATAGAGAAATAAACACTATTAAAATAAATAACATGTGTATTGTTAAATGTTTTCACAAAAATTTATAATTTTTTAAATTTTAAAATGATTTCACAAATAGAGAAATCAGCATGGACATCAAATGATTTTAACTAATGTAACTTAGTTTTAAGTCTTAGTTTTAAGTTAACTGTTACAGTAATCAACTTATAAAGATCTACTATCATGACATTCAAAATGCAAAACCTTCTTCATTTATCTAGCCAAACATGTTCTCATATCCTTGCCAGCACGTTCAGTCCATAAACATTTCATTTGATAAATATTGAGAGCATCCTCGGTGCCAGGCAGCGTTCTCATAATGGGCATGGTAGGATAGATGAATTTGGCACATCCACCAAGACCATAACAACTTTCCTTTTCTGGAAACTGCCCTCCACGTGCCCAAATACACAGAGCTATGCCCCCAGAAACCAAGTTCTTATTATGTATGATGAAACCAGGGGTGGCCTACTGACCTAAGGGAGTGAGTGAGGGGTAGCAAACAGATTTTCTCTCCCAAGAATGTGGATGGGATTTAAACTGCTCTGCAGTCACTTCAGGAGAGAGATTGAAATTATAATATGTCAACTTGGGAGCTATGGGAAAGCCTTAATCTGCCATAAAAACAGATCTGATGAGATCAAGAAAGTTAGAGCAAAGTGCATGGAGAGGCAGCCCAGAGAGGAGAGACATTTGAGGGCTTTCCAGAGTTGAATTCCAAAACACACCTGAAGCCCAGCTGGATTTCTTGTTCTGAGGCTCCCTAAGACCTTCCTTTCCTTTTACACTGATTCTCTCTTTTTTTCAAAGTCAAGTTTACTTCTGTAACTTGCAATCAAAAGAGTGTCAGCTAACAGACTGGTCATTCAAGATTCATAAACTTCTACCCAGTGTCAGTTTGATGAGAGATAGAGAGAGAAATCTAGTTTGGGGCAATTTCAAAATGATGTTTCACAAACACTAAAATCTTATTACACTGTAAACTGACACAAAATGATTGATAAGTTTACAAAAACATCCCAAATAAGAATTCAATAAAAAGTTGTGACACTATTTCTGTTTAAGCATTTTGCTGTAATCATTTTTCTTGATCCCACTTCCTTTCAGGAAATAGTACATTAGCTCTCCTCAGTCAATGCTGATGCTCACAAGTTAAGCCTTAGGGGACTATATCTATCTCTCTGCCCTATAAATCACCTGATGTATTTTGAGTCTTGAATAAATGCTGCTCTGCAATACTTTTTTCAATCGATATTTTCCCAGTTGTCTTTCATATATATGCCAACTGAGAGATTGAGAAAATCTCTGTCTTCCCCAGGCTGAGGATTATCTCCCATTTAATAAACTGATTTCTCTCAAGGGGAAAAAGTGAGCAAGTAACATCCAATTATGCGTGAAGTCATACAGTCAAGTATACATATGAGAGCAATATCCCTCCAGTAAACTCAACACAGGAACAAAGCCCAGGTAGTTACCGATTTCTACAACCACCTGTAATAAGAGAGATGCCTGGGATCTGGGTCATGATCCTAAGCTGTCCAGACTTCCTGTCTCTCTTTCCCACTTGACTTCCTGTTTCATTTCTCTTTCCTTCTGCTCCTGCTCCCATGCCTTCTCCTTCTCTCCTGCTCCTTTGTGAGGCAGGAAATCAATACAACAACTCCAGTACTCAGGGCCTGCCAGGTTCTAAAACCAACATGTAGCTTTAGGAGCTAAGCTTGGTAGCAGTATGCAGAAGGATGAACATAGAAAGAAGAAATCTGACCAGGAGCACTTGATATGCTAAAAGAATCCCTCTACCAGAGAAACATGACTACCTGGTTCCTGTATAGGTCAAGCAGATGTTTTGGGTTATCCTGGCCTGGAGCCTTTCACTCAGATCATCTCTCTTGGGATCATTATTCTCCAGGGTGAGACTAGAAAAGAGACTCTTTTGGTTGGTTGGTTATCAAGCAACTTCAGCATCAGAATCAGTTACTGATGTTTCATATTTGTTTCTCTACCAGCCTTTACGCTCCTTAGTTCTTATGAATTTCCTGGATTTGATGGTTGTCTGACAATTCAACAATGATTCTTTCCCTATTTCCTCTACTTTACCAGATTTTCCACATGCTTTTTTCTTGGACTCTGTGTCCCTATGGTTGGTCTACCTGAAGTCTCTGAGTCTTCCTCATTCTAGTTTGCTTACTTGGTTTTGATATGGTTGACCTGATTCCTCCATTATATTCATCACCTTTTTCTTTAGCCCTGATTTGCTCCTGCACCTTAACTTGTTGTCACTTGGTATTTCATAGACATGGAAGCCAACTCTAGGCAAAAGAAGGTTGGACATAGTTCGCCTTCAACATTGTTCATACTTCCCATCCTATAACCTTTAACCATACCCTCAACACCTAACTGTCTCCCAGTATTTAGTCAAATTGGAAATCAAACCCTGGTGGCCCAATTCTGAACCTCACACACTTCCATAATTATGGTACACCAACAAATCACATTCATGGCAGCCTCTGCACCTTGCTCATACCATTCCACGTGCTTCAAAACCAGCTTCAAAACTTTTGAGGACTCATTGCAGCTAATGACACCATCATTCTCCCATAGACCCTGATTCCATATCTTACCTTTATGGCATCAGGCACTGCATTCAATATTTTATGTTGAATGCAGATTCATTATGACATAGATTATGTCATTAATTCCTTATAAACAACCGTGTGAGAGGCTTAAAGAGAATAAGTCACATGCCAAAGTCATGCAGTTAATATGTGGAGAAGTCAAGATTTAAATCCAGGTCTGGACTGATCATCAAGCTCATGATCTTAATTATTCCTATTCGTTCTCCAGAGAGAGAGAAACAGCATAGATAGAAACTTTAAATCATTTTTAAACACCTCTCTCCCGGTAACTTTCTCTGTCCAATCAATAACAATTACCACATCCTTGATTTTGGCCACTGTTACCTCATTCTCCATCGTTTTTCTTTTCTTTTCACTAGTCTTTCTAAATCCAGTTGTTTTTTTTTTTTTTCCCCCTTAAGTGTGGCACAAACATTCCTGCCAAAAGAGTATTCCTGGAACACTACAGGACCTGATATTTTCCTGCACATATACAAATCCATATGTCTCCCCTTCTCCTACACATACACACACACACACAGACACACACACACCCCATACTCCACCTCCTAAAGGATTCTATAGTTTGTGTGGGCAAGACATCAAAATATATACTGATGTCTCTCCAGATTTGGTTAAAAGTCTACTCCCAAGAAGCAGCATGATATTGGTGGGAGGAGAGCATCACAAACATAGATTTTAGTTTTTGCATTAGTGTTAATAGACTGCATGACCTTCACAAAGGCATTCAATCTGTCTGGACCTTCTGATAAAGGGTTATAATTCTAACCCATGATTAGGTCCTTTTAACAATGAGTAACGGCACATTTTATTGTTTACCCTCCCGCCTCTTCAGGAATCATACCACGTAGAGTCATTGCATTAAGCTTGTTTCTGCATCTTCAAATCCATCACTTAAACATGGGTCTCAAAGCGCCTTTTAGAAAGTCTGTGAAAGAGCCTACATGAAGCAACTGGTGCTGTTGCTGGCATACATAAGGCTCTCTTGGAGTATTAGTTAACTTCCTCTCTGCTCTTCCTAATACCTTGTTCCTCAATGTCAAATGGTCATGTAATTTACATTTGCTAAAGACTAAATTGAAACACAAAGTAAACTAATGGCTCTATCCAACTAAGCAGATGTCTGCTAGCACCTTGTCACTAAGAATGGGGTCTATAGACTCGCAGTATTAGCACCACCTGAGAACCCATTAGAAGGTTCTCTCCGACCTACTGAATCAGAATCTGCATTTTAACAAAATCCTTGGGTGATTCATGTGCACCTTAAAAAATGAAAGACACTCAGGTCTGGCCTGTTGGCACAGCAGTTAAGTTCGTGTTTTCTTCTGCATAGAAGAGTGAGACTCATGACTGATATGCACAAATATTCTTATGATGCCTGAGAAAGCAACTCCATAATTTTCTTTCCAGTCAAAGTGGAGAAATAAAAACAAGTAATAACTCTCAGAGTCAGCACAAAGGGCACGGAAAGAACAATGAGAAGCTTCTCCAAATGGCAAATTTTAATTCATTATGATGAACCTACTGCCAACTGATTTACACTGAATGTAAGACATTTTTGAAGTGTCTCAAAGACAAAACAACTACCATTTTGGAGCTCTGAAGCATGCCTCTATGAGATGTTCTCTGGAGCCATTTTGCCAGTTGGGACCTAGTCTATATCAGGAACTGTAGTGTCTGTAGAGATCAGTAAGACATAACCCTTGTTCTCAGAGGGCTGACAATCCAGCTGAGTAAACCACAGAACAATCACAGTATAAGCCAAGTCACGTCATTCCACTCCTCTCAAAGCTCTCTAATGCCTCACCTTCTCATTTTGAGTAAAAGCCAAAATCCTTGCAATGCCCACAAGGTAGTGCCTACAAGGTGCTGTACAACCTAATCTTTCCTGTGCCCAGCCAGCCTCTCCCTTCTCATGCGAATCTCCTGCTGCTGCCCCTCTCAGCCCCTCACCCTCTCCACTCTAGCATGCACACTGTGGTATTCCCTCCTCCAGGAGTTTGCCCTTGCTCTTTTCTTTGTCTGAAATTCCTTTCTCCCTTTCCAGTATTTCAATCCCCACTTCCCCTTATCTGCCTTAATTTATTCCATAGTACTTATCACAATGTGACATCTGTTTATTGTCTTGCTTTCTCCACTAGAATGTAAGCTCTCTGAGGCCAGAGATCATTGTATTGTTCACTGTTGTATCTCCAACACCTAAACTGTGCCTGGAACCTATTAGGCGCTAAATAAGTATTTGAAGAATGAATAAATTAATTGTCAAGCAGAAGTCCAGTATGCTGATTATAATCCAATATGGAGGCCCTAAGG